GTGTGTGTGGTGTTGTGTGGTGTTGTGTGGTGTGTGTGGTGTGTGTGGTGTGTGTGTGGTGTGTGTGGTGTTGTGTGGTGTGTGTGGTGTTGTGTGGTGTGTGTGTGGTGTTGTGTGGTGTTGTGTGGTGTGTGTGGGTGTTGTGTGGTGTGTGTGTGTGTCGTGTGAGTGCAAGTACCCAAGGAGACTAGAAAAGGGCATCAGATCCACCAGGCTGAACTTATGGGCAATCATGAGCCACTCAACTTGGGTGCTGGGAATCAAAGCAGGGTCCTCTGACGGAACAGTGCGTGCTCTTAGCCACTGAGCCATCTCTCCAGCCCTTGCAGTGCAGATTTTAAAACACAGTGCTTTACCCATAGCAAGCACTCAAGAGCACATTGCTGGTCAACTGGCTAGTTCTGGGGTGAAATGTGCAAGAAACGGTCATGTGGAAGAGGCCCAGGGCTCTTGCTTCCCAGCACTCAGACCCCACTGTCCACCCATCCTTTCTTGTCTAACAAGTGCCCGTGGAGGGAGCTGCATGCTGGGGAACATTCCAGTACTTGGTTACCAAGAACAAGCGCAACTGAAAATCCCTTCCCTCGCTCCTGGGTGGGGTCACACAGTGAATAAACTAAACTAAACAGAAAACCTGTGACACACAAACTGTGAGGTGATTGAGCATGAAAAGAGGACGGACGAAAAAGAGGTGAGAGGACCTGGCTGGCTGGAGGACAGGAAGTGTTCAGAAAAGACCTCACAGAAGAAGGGGCTGCCCAAACCAAGGTATGAGGAAAGACTCCCCCGCCCACTAAAACACAGGGAGGACTCTGTCCAAGACTAAATTCACCTGGCACGGTGGCGAGGTTGGGGTGCCTGTGGTCTGCAAACAGTATGATTACCGAGCTAAGCACATAGAACGGGCCAAATAGAGATATCCTGAGGGTGAGTTTTCAGGCTGAAGGTCTCAGCTTCTGATAACACAGTACCGGCCATTTGAGCATCCAGAACCAGCGCTGGCACCCCAAGGCCCCCAACCCTGGGAGCCTCCTCAGAACACACCTCATTAGGAAACAGGTGAGGGGGGGCTCCTGGGGCCTTCTCTGTAATTAGGGGAAGATCGGAGCAAGGGCGATATTTATCCCACGGCACCTCAGCAGGCCTGGGAGACAGCAGTGGGTCCCTCTGCGGCAACTATACCAACATCTATATGTGGACTGATTACAACAATTAATTTAATAGGGATTCTTCCACACAAACAATGTATCATTTTATTAGGAAACTCTATAAATGTCAGTGGTGCAATTCATTTTTATTAATTTTCTGAAATGAAATTAGCAGTAGCTGCGGCTGCGGCAGCAAACAGAAGTTGCAGTGCTTTCCCATTCAGCAGAGTATTGGTGTCATTAATTCCTTAATACCAGGAGGCTGGTTTGTATGAACTCAGCAGTTAACTGCATCAATTAATTTCAGTACTGGAAATGGTGGGGGAGGGGATCCAAACTCAACTCCACAACTAATTTAGGAAGGTCCTTGGACAACCGAGGCAACTTTTCCATCTCCTGGGACAAGAGGCTTTCAAGTGTACTCACGAGTCTGTGTTAGAGAACTGAAAGGAGCCCCTGTGTTCACCCTCTGCCTGGAGGAAAGAAATTCATCCTTCCAGAGCCCAGAGGAATTCCTGTCGATGCCTCCTGAGGTCCAGACTTCCAGCAAGCTGGAGGGATGGTGTTTTTAGACAAAAATAATGGTGGCACCCTGTGCTGACATTCACACATGCAAAGCAGGATCACAAATGTGCCACACTTTGATGACCCAGCGAGGACAGGATCCACAGCAGCTCTACTTTCTACATAAACAAGGAAAACGGTGGAGGCTGAGCCTGGTGGTGCACAGCTGTAATCCCAGCACTTGGGAGGCTGAGGGAGGGCAGGAAGGAAAGAAAGAGGGAGGGAGGAAGGGAGGGGGAGTGAGAACAGACACAGAACTGAGTATGTCTCATTGGTTAAGAACTTTATGAATGCTTGTTGCCCTTTCGGAGGACCCAAGTTCAGTTCCCAGCACCCAGGTTTGTTGAGTCACAACTGCCTGGGAAGGGAGGGGTTGGGAGGCAGGGAGGGAAATGTGGTGTTTTTTAAGGAACATAAGGGACTTTTGTAAAACTGTCAGGTGCTGTTGAATGACAGAACCAGGCCTCAAGCAGCAGTCTCAGCATGGAACCCTCATTTCCTCTCCTGCTCCACATGTCCCTGTACCCTGTTGGGTCTTATTCCACTCATACTCAAAAAGGTCAGTGAGTTTGGTGTGACCAGAAGTCAGATACTCTTCCCAATCAAGCCTCAAGTCATTGGGTTAAAAGAATGAGCCAAGCTTGCAATGTTCTAGGGTGCTGGGGTCACGACACACACGAGTGTGTTCAGGGCCTGCCACATTCCAGACACCTTCACTTGGCTCATGAGTCGCCCTTTCCTTCCATGGGGAGTCAAGAAGTCTAATGATTACTATTGATTGTTAACTTGGCAGGATCTAGAATCACCTAAGAAACAAATCTCTGAGCATGACTTGAGGGAGTTTCTAAATTGGGTTAATTGAGCGGGGAAGACCTGCCGTCATCAAGGGCAGCACCATCCCCCAGGCTGAGGTCCTGGACTGAATCAGGAGAAAGCCAGCTGGGTTTCATCTCCAGGACTCACCTCCCTCTGCTTCCTGACTAGGGACTAAATGTGACCAGCTGCCTCATGTTCCTGATGCCATCTTCCCCACCATGATATACTATAACCTCCAGCTGTCATCCAGAATAAGTCTGCCTTCCTTAAGTCATTTTGTAAGCTATGTTGTTATAGCAACCAGAAAATTAACAGAGACACCTTGTAGCATGTGTGATCATTCTGAAGCCCAGGACCCATTCCTCCGTAGCTCAGAAAGGATGAACAGGTCACGACCAGGACCAAGGTCACAGGGGACACTTGTCATCCTATTCCTGGTTCCCCATTAACAATGCTGAAGACTTTGGCACGTGTGTCTGAGAAGGACTGAGAATTCCACCTTGGATTCAAACCTGTAATCAGTCACCCCGCAAGCCACCTGCTAGCTAACACAAACACCTGGTCCTGTCTCCGATAATAGAAACGTTGCAGTGATTGGAAGAGAGCGGCCACCCATTCCTGACTCTAGTATGCAACATATCAAAAATAAAAGCATTAAGAACTGGGGGGGCAAGAAGAGGCTGACTTCAAAATGAGCCCCAGGTCCCAGGCTCACCACCCTTCATAGAATAACAACATTACTTTCCAGGCACCAGAACTCGGGTCAGCTGTATTTTCACCAATTCTCTCCATTCCCAGGTGGTGAGAGAAGTTAAATGTTTGTGGCAGTTACTGGGTTCGAGGACATTTATTGCATAATATTTAGCCATCTCTTCTGATTTGGGAGATCTTCCCAGCAATCAAGAATAATCCAGCATTATGGGCGTGCAAAACACATTGAGATCCAAGTGGGCACTTAAGTGAGTCTCTCTTTTTAAAAAGTACATTGCCAGAGAGCACTGATGGCAGGTGGGCACTTTCCCAACATAAACACCCCTGATGCACCCAGCTAAGGAACAGAGAGAGCCCTGAGCCAGCAGGTTCAAAGTTGTGACTTGCCAGACAGCTGTTACCCAGTTTCTAACCCTTCCGACTGTGTTCACTCCCACGGTATTGGACCAATTAATGAGCGCTCCCGTCATGGGCCAGCAAGCACAACGTGACATTGTCAACTCGTTACCCTATACTGTACGAGTGGCCAAATCTGGTAATCCAGGAAAATCAATCGTCTATTCGCACAGTACATAGTTGGAAAACTGCGGGGGCTGGGGCGTTACCTGGTCTTAGGGGATGTGGTCAGCCATTCCTCATGTTTCTCAAACGTTATTAAATAAGCTGCAATTTCCTGAAATAGAAAAATAAAAAGATAATAACAACAATTAGCTCATGTTGGACCCTGAGAAGTAAGAAAGCTGGTAATGTTCCCCAGCTGCCTCTGTGACTTCGCCGGGCTGGAACTCCATTTTCCCTAGAAAAATGTCCCGTTCCAACTCGGCTTCTTTTTTTGAATTCCTGAATCCTTTCCACTCAACCAGCCACACAATCACCATCAAAGCCTGGGTTTCAGAAGAGGAGTCAGCGGCAAGGACAAAAATATTTCTCTGTGGAAAGAAAACATCAGACACCCTTTCAGATTCCAAATGTCACTCATCTGAAGGAGGGAAACACGAGCCAACAACAGGTGCTCACCCCTGCGAAGCCACACTGGGAAGATGTCCTGCTACCTCCTCACAAGACAGCTCCTTTCAGCTTGATCCCCAACCCCCTCCCCGAGTCAAATCACACAGAGATTAAAAAGAAAAGATAAAGTCTCATTCCAGAGAGAGAGAGAGAGAGAGAGCGCCTTTCCCACCACTGTTAACTTGATCTATTGAAGAGGGCATCAGAGAAGAGCCCAGTCAGCTGACATTAAGGTAAAGATGGAAGAAATGTGGGCACCTCAAGGTAAATTAAATATTTATAAACACAACAACATCATCACAGAATTACTGACTTATTAATAATTTCCACAAGAAGCCAGCGGGTGACACCAGCATCTGTCACTGTCCAAGCTCAGAGGCATGACATGGCCCATTCCTCCCAGCTCTAAACAGATCTGCTAACATGAAATTGGCAGGTATCGTGAGTTACATTAAGGTTGGGCTAGTACACGTTTCCCTTGATCTCACCGGTGACATGACACAGAGATGCTGCCGTGAACTGTCAGGGAATTGAGGAGCAGAGGCTTCCCTTTCACTTCCCGCTGTCACCGAGGCTGCTCTAGGCTTTTTGGAATAGAGCAACCCGTCTTCCCAGAGACCATCAGCCTCTCGGGCTTGAATATAATGGAGCTGATCTCTCTGACCAACATGGTACACTGGCCTTGAAGAGGAAAAAAAAGAGATACTGCTAATACCAGGTACACATGGCAGAGGAGGGTAGCAAATAATGACCATGCCTTGCAGTGAAGGCCACCAGGGCCAGTGGAGAGCAAGGCCTCAGGTCATTTTTGGAAGTGACCATTTCCACACACATCAGGCCCGAGCAGCCCGAGCCACCGCAGTCTAGAAGCCTGGGGGTTATTATACCTGGGGAGCAGTAGGTACTGAAAGGCAGAACTGCTTCTTTGAACACGGTTCAATCATTGATTTTTTTTTTTTTTTTAGCTAAAGAACGAACTAGCATATTGTTCTGTCATCGCTAAACCTTTTGCAGTTTGTTTCCTCTCCTTGGGAAGATCCTTCCCTGGGGTTTCACTTGGGTCGATATCTGTTTCCCGGGCCGGCCCTCTCTCACTGTTCAGGACAGGGCTAGTTGCCCATCCTACATGCTCCCAGGGCACCTTTCTCCAGCACATAGGATCCATCACTCCGTGTTCTAATTGCTTGTTTACGTGGCTAACATCCCCATGGATCATGCAAGTGTAAGGGATATGTCAACACTGATGGAGCCCCAGGACTTAATGGTGTCCCATAGCACGGTGGAAACACCTGAAAATTGTCTGTTAGATAGCGTTAGCACACAGGTCTGCACCTCAGGCTGGATCCCACAGCCAGAGTCAGGCCACGCCTCCCTGCAGCTCTCTCTGGAAGAGTTAAGAAGCTGGCTGTGCTGTGACTTGACAGCTCTCAGTTTGTGGTGCCTGACTCCTCCACACTCCCTGTCACGTAAGTTATGGTGAGCTAAATCATGTGATGTGAATCTCCTGCCAGCTTAAAACATTATAAAAGGGAGACCCTGCCTTTGTTCTAGTGATTGGGCCCAGACTCTTGGGGGGGGGGGCTGCTTGGGGATTTGGTCCAGAGATGAAGGCTAGTCTCTGAAGAGATTCCTCAGGCCCCACAGCCCCTGCCACCCCTTTCATGGTTGCTCTCTCTCTCTCTCTCTCTCTCAATGAGGCGCTTCTTCAGGCTTTAAAGGGAAGTGTCTCCTTCCCTTTAAGGGCCCTCCATGTTTATAATTCACACATTGTATTGCTCTTGTCTAATGTTCTCCCTCCCTCCTCTCCTCTAGGCTCCACCATAGCCTTGAGGCCCTTTCATTATAATAAACTTTCTGAAGGGAATTACATGTCAGATTCCTCTATTGACTGACCACTGCAGCATCTGTTTTGCTGTCTTCTATAACAGACCTGTTGGGGATGAGTGGGTAGATAGATGGATGGAGATGGACAGACAGATGGATGTATGGGTAGAAGGATGGAAGGCTAGAGGAATGGATGAGTAGAGGGATGGATGGATGAATGGATAGGTAAATGAGTGGACAGGTAGATGGGTGGGCAGGTGGATGGATGGATTGATGGACAGGTGGGTAGGTGGGGGGGTGGATGGGTGGATGGATGGATGGTGGATGAATGACAGGTGGGTGGCTGAATGGGTAGATTGGTGGGCAGGTGGACGGATGAATTGATGGGCAGGTGAGTGAGTGGACAGAGGGAGGGAGGGAGGGAGGGAGGGATGGATGGATGGATGGGCAGGTGGATGGATGAATAGTAGACGGCAGGTGGATTGATGAGTGGGGGAGTGAATGGAGGAAAGAGGAGTGGGCACTGTGGAAATAAATATGTGTTAATGAAAGTGTACGTGTCTCATGTCTCTGTGTTTGGTAGTGTGTGTGGTAGGTGTGTTTAATAGATATGGATAACTATGAAGACAGTTGAAAGGAGAGCTGAAAAGCTGTAGAACACAGCAGTTCCTAGATAAGACCCTGCAGTTGTTTAACTAACTGAGTCACCACAGGAAGGCAGCTCAACATCATGGCAAAGCGCCTATCTATGAGGAGACAGACCAGCCTTGGTCCACGCTGTGCCAAGAACCAACTGTCTCATCTTGAGCACATTGCTTACCCCGCCCAGGATTCCACTTCCTCTGCACCAAGGATAATATCACTTCTTGGGACAGTAAAAAAAGACCAGCAGTCCTTACAGCATGGATGGCCATAGCACATCCTCAGACAAGTGCTGCCATGATCCACTTTCTAAGGTCTACATGGTGTGAGCCACCTGTCTAGAGACCCTTGACAGGTAGCAGGTGTCAGGATGGCCCAGGCCACTGCTGGGTTTACTGCGTCTCCCCCAGGCCTCCACCCTTCACACTGCACTCACAAAGGATGGTAATGACTGTTCAGAGTTTCCGGAGCTGGCCTTTCCAGTCACCCACGAATTCTCATTTGGCCTCACAAGATGCTGAGAACAGACCATGGCTAACATGGAAATTAGGAGCCACTTAGGTGTCAGCCTGAATCTCAGCAGACTTGGTATCCAGAGGCTATCCATGCCAACTGGAAGTCCCCCAAACCCTGACCTTGCCCAAGGTCATGTCCCAGTGACCCAGAGGATGGGGGCACAGTGTGTCCAGCCACCTCTGCATCCATTACTCCGTCCCACATCCCCAGTCACCCAAAGGCCTTCATGAATGTCCTGCTCCCACTTGCCCCAGCATGACAGGGCTTCCCACAGTTGCTGTCCTCCACAGAGGAAAAGCTCCCTGACCCCTCACAGCATTCAAGATCTCTCAACACTGTCCAAAGAAACCTCATTCTGCAGTGGACAGTAGTTAATCCAGAGACTCATAACTAATCAAAGAACAATGACTTCTGAGTGCTCAGTCCTAAATGGGACATGTCTATCAACACTCACCAGGCTCAGGGAACATGACAGAAGGGGGGCAGAAAGGATGTAAGAGCTGGAGGATGGGGAGGAGAGCCGTGAAATGCTACATTCGGGACACATGTCTGTCACACTCATAAACTCGCAGCAGCTATGGTTACCTATACAAGATCTCCATAAGATCGAGCCAACAAGACCAGCAAACATTCTAGCCATGACTGAACTCAGCGGGTAGCAAAAATATTAAAAAGGAGAGGTCACGAAGATGGAAGGGGGTGTGTTGGGGAATGTCTATATTGCATGCATGTATGAAATTGTCCCGAGAATAAATATGATTTTTTAAAAGATTTACTGAGCTTTTATACATTTCACACAACAGTTCCTAATCAAATTTAGAACCCCTCCCCCATCCATACCTCCCCACTCCCCCCACCAGACATTATGTATTTCGCCGTACATGTTAAGTCCTAACCAGTCAAGCATTTGTACCCAGATGTCCGTCAGTGAAAATTCACCTACTGGAGTCTAGTCAGCCTATCTCAAGATCGTTGGTAATGCCTACTCTACCTCACCCAGTAGTAATCAGTCTCCAGTAGCTCCCAGACTAGGGCGAACCCACCACCCATTTCCCTCTCTCCACTCTGGGCCCTTGTCTGATTGAGTTGACATGGGACCTGTGCTCAATGCTACCATTGTCACAGGTTCACGTGTACAAGCTTCCAGTGGCCTGAAAATATGATTTTTAAAAAAGATACTACTAAACACCTACTATGTGGTGGCCCATGAATAAGTGCACTGTGAAGCCTGCAGCCAGAGACGTCACAGTCAAGGAAAGAAAGACATATCACAACAGAGCAACACCCCTGCTGCTGCAGACCTACTGTGTGCTCAACTGTATAATCAGGTCAATGCAGGCCTCCTGAGCCACTGCACAGACAAGCAGAAGGTCAGGAAATCACACTGATTTATGGGCTTCCTTCAACCACTGGTCATTCCCTCCTCCACCAAGGGTGTGTGTGTGGGGGGTGTTCTCAAGCACATCTCACTTAACACTAGATTTTCTGAGGAAGGAAACCGAGCACTCACACCCAGGTCCCACCTCTGTGTGTTCAGGTTGACTGGACTTGACGCCAAGGCCCGTACATGCTGCTGCTGGTCTCCAGCTAACCTGGGTGCATTTGGGTCACCCATCCAATCCCATGCCCAGTCAGGGCATGGTGGTGCACACCTTTAATCCCAGCACTCAAGAGGCAGAGGTA